GGGGTAGGGGTCGAGGATCTCCTTGACGTCAAAGGCCGCAACCTAGGCGATGAGGAGAAGAAGGAAGGCTAAGGGTTTGGAGGCTATTTTATCGAGAGCAACGACCTTGGCCTTGGTCGTGTCTTCACCTCGGAAGGCTTCTGGATGTTATTGTGGCACTCTTTTTAGGTAATTTCGAAGGATTTTATACCCTTTTTTAGGTGTACCTCTCGGTACGCCCTAGCATACCGCTCAGTACCTCGTACCGTACCATACCAAGCAAAGCTTAGTACACCGGTACGGTACGAAATTAAAAACCTTGCATCTAGCTAGCAACAACAGGTGACAATAATAATAAATCAAGGGTTGTACTTCCATTCTCTTTACCATGTTTATTTAATTAAATCATTAAGATTTGGCCAACCCGGGTTGGATCAGCCAACTCTGATTGATTTGGGATGGTCCCAGCCAGTTCCAACAAACTGATATTTATCAATTATGCTGGGAAAATATGGTTTCGAAATACCCTAACAGCAACTACGGTTCAATATTTTTTAAAGTTGTAATAGAGAATGGGGATGGCAGATAGCATGATTCTGTTTAATCTTCATCGGGGTCGGCACTTGACAGTAAGTGGTCATGTTCCATCAGAAATTTCATTGTACATGTTTTTGACAGTTTTAAGGGTGTAAAGACATTTGTGGATATTCTGCAAGCATTGGGTAGGGGGTAACAAAGTAATTCTTGGTTAACTTGTAAATAATCAATTTGAGCAAATGGGGCTTACTATGCATATGCAGGTTGTATTGTCTTCAGCAATCTGAGTTTTCAGTTGAATATCCAATTACTTTACTCTTATTATAAACTTATATGAAGATTGTGAAATTTCTTCATTACTCAACATTGTCCTTTTTGCATCTTATTCAAATGCTGAAACTGGAAATTTGAGTTAAATGCTGGTGTTCTTGAAATTGCCACCAGGTTGATTGTGCTATGTACATTTTTGGCAATTCTTTCTATACTGTCTCGTACTTGCGTCCCTTGGTTTCTTAGGCTGATGATCAGTCTTTCATCTCAGGTATCTTTCAAATAACAGATTTTATTTGTAAAAGATGTTCTCCTGTTATCCTGCCACCTAAGGCTTAATGTGTCTGCATTATGTTCACTGACTTGCCTGTTATTTGTGCAGACCAATGAACTCTATCAATTGGCATCTGTGGCATTCTGTTTACTAGTTGCTTGGGTTTGTTTCCAGTCACTTTCAGTTGTTTAGCTATTTTCTGTCTCCCCTTGTGGTAAATGATATTTTGAACTGCCTTTTGTGGATAAATAGTTTTGGACTTGAATGAGATCCAATTTGCTATTTGACATCAGTCATACTCAGATGATAACTCAATCAATTAATGTTTTGCAAATTATCTTCTCTAGGGTAACTCTTTGTTATAACACATAACTTGCTGTTAGCATCAGAGGATAGTGGGTTCAGACAACATTTGACTGCATCTGATGACCCTAAAACCCTGTTCCTTAGTCAATCAGTACCAATTTTTGTAAATTATCAGTCTCACCTGTGCTCTATTTTACTCAAGGAAAGGTCACAAATAAAAAGTTTATCAATAAAGGCCTTGTATTTGTGATCAGTTGGGTTCTTATGCCCAACTTGTTTCCTGGATTTCCAAAATTGTGCATTCAATTATGGCAATGTGATGCTGTTCTCTTCATAACTTCTTTTTTTGTATTTTCAACCATGGAAACCAATTTTGTTTGTTCATCTGTATTGACTTGCCTTGTTTGCTGTATAAAATTCTTGGTTTCGCTGAAGAACTGTCTTCTCCCTCTTTTTCTTTTGTAATTATGTTTTTTTCATTAGTTTTTCCCCATCATCTATAGATATGCTTGTTTGCTGTGTTTCATACTCAAAATTATCACATCCAGGTTCTATGGCACCCTTCTTGATGTTCATTTTTAACACCATGGAGAACCCAACCATATCTTTTTGTCTTGTGGACAATTCACTAGGCTTTGATGATGAAATTGTTATTGTTTTGTTGTTATTGTTGGGAACAGAACATTAAACTCATAAAATAGTTTTGAAGAAAATCGATGGAACATTTGCCTTAACATTTTATCTTTCTTGAAAGATTTCACAAACCCCTCGGTGGTTTTTCTATTTGCCTGTGATACTTGTAAAACGTTGGCTAACAGCCATGACAACTGATAAATGTTTTAGCATGGAACCAATATTTAGGCATTCTAAAGTACTTCTCTGTTTTTAAGTCGGATGTATGATTGTTTCCTGAAGGTTTTTTTCTGCATTAAATGATCCACAACTTTCAATAGGTCAGCAAGTATTACGTTAGGATTTTCTGCTCCATTTCCCCAATTCAAGAACTAGGATATCTTTGTTTGTGATTCTTCAAGGATCAACATATCATTGAGGCAACTTATAGTTTTAAGTTTGTAGCCCTAAATGTTTGTTTTTAGTGATGTCAAAATGCTGCTATGTCAATATGTTTAATATTGATTGCTTTGATGAACATCTCAGTGTAGTGACAAGTTGGGCCTCAGTCTTGAATTGGGTTCATTTGCTGCTGGAGTAATGATATCAACCACAGATCTTTCACAACATACCCTTGAGCAAGTAAGCACTTTTTCGATACTGCTGTTTCTCATATAACTGAAAGTCATGATACTGATTTGTTCCCTTCGGCACTTTTATAAAAAATATAGAAACAGCTATTTTGTTTCTGGAAAATGAGACAAACTTTATCTTGTTACTTTTGCCTGTGATGGATTAAGGTTTTGATTCTTCTTTCACCACCTGTCTGGCTTCAGAGAATGTGGCAGCTTCCGTACTTTTCTTTACATGAAACTCATGTCAAAGAGCCCTTATTTATTTCATTATGCAGGGCAAAAGTCAGTTCAGGAAGCCAGGAGGCATTAAATGCCTTCAATGTTGCCTTGGTGTTTAAATCATACGTATTAGAGCTGATCTGACCAACTGTATTTGGTAATGTAGGAAATTACTAATCCAACCTTTAGATATCCTGGTTAGATGAGGTGAATCGACTAAGATTAGTGGTGGGAGGAAAGGAATAGGGAGACTTTAGAAAACTTTATTAAGAACAACAAAAAGAGATTCGCTCACTTTTGGATTTACTTACTAATGATATTGTCCTAAAAGAGCTCCATGTGAGAGAAGATTCATGTAGCCTTGGGGCAGTATGGCTTGTTGTTATACTTGAGCCACCTCATTTTTGGCAGATGATTCAGTTGATCCTTAGCGGATGATTTAACGGAACCTAACATTTCTTATTGAGTACTAATCCATATTAAATGTACCTGCCCCAGATAATTTATTTTCAGTCTGTACAATTATCAAAGCTAACTTCCATCTTCTACTTCATGGATAATATTTGAAGTCATTGCAACTGCAGATTCAAAATGACCAATTCCATTGAGGCAAAGGTGATTTCTGGTTCAAGGATTAAACTATTTTTTTTTCGGATTGCCATCACTTAACCTCCAGTCAGATTTCTTTCTACAGAAAAAATGCTGTTGTAACAATATGTGCCAACAAACTAACTGGTGTAGTTCGGTGAAAGATTCAATAATTAATTTGAACTAAGATCTGGAGAAGTTTTTTTCTTATACTTTATGCTTCATCTAGCTAAATTGGCTTTTTACAGGAGTGGTGAAAATTTTCCTTTCTCAATGGAAGTCTAAATATGCTAATGTGCACTATACTCGTATAGTTTGTTTACCATCCTTTTCTTGTAATAGTGCTTTATCTTTTTGTAATTCAATATCTATTCCCTAACTCCAAGTTTGTTGTTTCTGCAGATTGAACCTATTCGTAACTTCTTTGCAGCTCTTTTCCTTGCTAGCATTGGGATGCTAATTCATGTCCATTTTCTTTGGAATCATGTGGATATTTTGCTAGCAGCTGTAATCCTGGTAATAATTGTTAAAACAATAGTGATCACGCTAGTCGTAAAAGGATTTGGCTACAGTAATAAGGCTTCACTTCTTGTAAGATTCTAACTCCCTTGTACTTGTATATTTAGTTCTTTGGCATATTATGTTTAGCTTTGTCTATCTTATTTTGTAGGTTGGCATGTCCCTAGCGCAGATAGGAGAATTTGCGTTTGTTCTTTTAAGTCGTGCTTCAAATCTTCATCTAGTTGAGGTTACTTATATAATTTCTTGTTTTATTTGGGCTGATGCATTACGATATTACCAAATTTTATTAGATAGTCTTGGACATCTATATTGAATTATTTATCCAAACATACAATTTTGATTTCTTGGGTCAACTAAAAAAAAATGTAATCTTCAATACATCAATGCTGTCATTCTTGATATTTTCAATATATAAATCATTTAATAGATTTTGCTGAGGGGCTCAAAATTTAGTGCAGAAGTTGTTATTTTAGGCAAAACATTAATTCAGTATGGCAGGTTGATAAACAGGTAGTCATATGCTGCTCCGGGGCAACAAGAGATGGTCCTGTTGTTCATGCATATATAGTTTTGTGTTGTTATATGATTATGCCTTCTCAGTATTCAGATATTAAAATTTAACCATTTAACTGGTAATTTAGTCTTTTGCAATTATGTGACTTATTTCACTAAGCGATGCAACCATGACAGGGCAAATTGTATCTCTTACTTCTGGGGACGACTGCACTTAGCTTGGTAAGTAGTTGTTCTTAAGGATTTCACGTATTTGGAATGTGTTAAAAGAGATGAGACCAAATGCCTGTTATCTGCTAATAAGATGCTAGATCTCAGCATACAGCTTGGCCCTATAAGACCCTTTTCGTCTGATTATTCAATTCACGGTTAATCTGCAATATGGATACACTTTGAAGAGTGCTTGCTACACATACCACATATAATTTTTTTTTTTTTTTTTTTTTTTGTTCCTCCCCCTTTTGGTTTCAAGTAAGTCGACATATTTTGCAGGTGACCACTCCATTGCTATTCAAGCTGATCCCTGCAGTCATACATCTTGGTGTTCTGCTGCGATGGTTCACCCCTGATAGCAATGAGGTAATTACGTCTTTTTTTTTTATGATGAACTGTCCATTTTGTAGGATGTTTGGATGTTTTGTATGATGATGATAAACTGGTTCCGTATGCAGTTAGGGTATAAAGGTGATAACATCCGGTCAGATAGTGCAAATAAGCGAGTAACTCTAATGATTCAGGGCGCGCATGATTCATGACGAGAAATTCACTGAGAGTCTAGTGCATGGATGCAGCTACAGTAGTGATTTGGTTGACTAGCTCGGTAGATGATTTAGGAGGAACATGTATTGAAGTGATTGATACAGGGAGAGCATGATATTGCAAGGCGCATATAAGATTTCAAAAGCACAAATGAGATCTACCCTGATCTGCCATTTGGACAAGCATATATATATATATATATATATATATTTATATTTATATTAAAAAAAAAATGGCGGGAGAGAATGGGTTTCGGTAAGCTCTACCGGTTTTTGAAGTTAAGCACTTGTATGGGATGACATTTGTCCTGTGGTAGTGCAGATTTTTGTGTAAAGTACTTGGCTGAAATGTATCCTTAGTTCGTCGGTGTACTGGAATTGTAACCTTCGGGATTGCCATTACATTCATTCAATCAAATTGTAGAGAAAGTTGATTTGTGCAACACTCTTTAAGGTTTTGTAGTTAATTTCTTTGCTGACCCAAATCTTGTGAATACAGTAGCAATTTCGGCATCTCCGATCCTACTACTCGATTGCGTTTGTGCTGTATAGCCACCGTGAGGAGAGAGAAAGATTGACTGTGTGCTGGTTGGATTCGTGGCGCGCGCGAAGGATGACAGCTTCTTGCTGTCAGATCCAGTAGGCGGCCCCCACAAATGCACAATCCAAAAGTGACATTTATCCTCAGAACGATCCAAGAATACCAAAATAAAAAACTAAAAAATTGGAGTAGGAATGGTGTAGGAGATCTGACAGGTGTATCGAGTAGACCGGCTGCCTCAACCACAAACGGACAAGACGTGACTCCTCTCTGTATGTGTGTCGTCTATCCTGGGAAGAATCCTACACCGAAAGCAAAAGGAGTGGGATTGTGTCCACTTACTAGCATGGACGGGGAGAGACCTTCGACGATCAGAAGATGAACACAAATTCTTCGTGGGAGTCACTTTCATTAAACTCTTTTTTATACTCAGTTCTCATGCGAATAATTTTTTTTTCTCAACCTAAATTCAGTATAAAAAAAAAATACATAGGAGCATCCAAAATATCGTCTTCTATACCTCTTTTATTTTTATTAAAATATGATTACTTAAAATATATATTTATAAAATTACTAAGTATTATTATTATTATTCCTAATTAGATTCTTAACCTCGATCATAATCCTGGTGGGTCAAAAAAATAAATTAAATTAAATTAAATTAGAACTTTCTTTTATGTAATTAATTATTAATCAAAGTTATTAAAAGAATTGCCAACCCTATCAGTCAATCAAAGGTCTCGTTCACCTTTCTTTTGCGTTAGGTTTGGCGGTCCGCAACTTTAATCATTCGGCTGTCAGCCCATCCATTGGATGGCGCTCTGCCCTCCGGCTGAACTCATCGGCAGGACATGTGGGGGCAGGGGCTCCCTGCGCCAGCATCGCCGGAGAGAGAGAGAGACTGCTACTGTCGACGTTCCTGGTCTTTGGCGAAGGTGAATCAGATGCCACGGTCAGCCTCCTCGGTTACCGACCCTAGAAAGCAGAAACGACGCTCGACACCTTATCTTGCAATCAAGAGTAAAAGACGACGAAGCAATCAATAATTGATTCGCGCATTCCCCTCGAGCAGGATTGCTCCTTCGTGGCATCTGACTAAATGACAGAATTGTCGAGATCTGTCGCAGGACTGATACAGACAGATATGGCGAGCCCGACACCTCTTGGTCCTACGTCTGCCACTATGTCCATCCAAAGAAACTTCAGCTTCGACAAAGACATCGCCCTGTAGTTTGAGACGCATGGAAAAAGGTTATCATGTCACATACTTCCGCTGCTACATCCTTTTCTGCGACAAAGCAATGGGTTTTGGCATGGAGTGTGGCAGAACATAATTATTTGAATCATGTCATGTCATTCCTGAGCTAACGTTTACGATCTTCCTTTGCTTTGATGACTGTACGGATCGAGTTTCAGCACATTACAAGTGTTCGGAAGAGAAATAAAAGATTAATATCACATTAGTAAATAAATATTGACCGAGTGAAGTCCCATATATTAAGTTTGATCGTAATATTAATATAAAATATATATATATATATATATATATATATAATATGTCAAAGAATAATTAAAATTCTTGATTTAAATTATTAAAAAAATATATTAGAGTTCATCGTACCATACAAATAGTTATTTCCCATCATCAAAATAGTTGTTTCGATATCAAATCCGATGATTAAAGATAGATGGCAATGTTATCTTTCTTGACTGCACACCGTTGACTATTTTCAGAAAGATCTCATTGTGTAGTGAGCAAGAAAGACAATTAAAAACCATGATTGACCCTTATCTGTTGGATCTCTGCAACATCATGCTACATGGTTTTGGATGCAGCCCAGTTTCTTTTGATTCGGTCAATAGTGCTGGCATTTATTGCAGTGATATGTAAGCACTTGAATCATCAAACTTGTTTGCTATCGCAGTGATCTGTGACAGGCCACGAGAGCTTGGATAAGTCAACCGGATAAAAGATAACAAAGAACAGTCAGGCCACCATAGATTTGTTCTAATGTGATTTCTATGCAGAAAACATTATGGTTGTGGCAGAGAACATGCAGCTGTGCTTTGGCCAGCAATGAGAGAGACATATGATAATTTTTTTTCTTGTAGTCAAATAATTTTACCTCAAATTTTCAATTCATGGATTGGAAGGCAGAGTTTTCGTCATTTCTGAGCCATACGGCCAGATTTCCTTTAATCACATTTTGGATGCCGAGACAAACAGATGCATTGGGAGCTGTCACCATTAAGCCTTTCATGTGGATGTGTTCCCTCCTCATTCTCGTTATTCTCGAAGATGTTTCGGAAAGATCAAGACCATATATAAATATAATTTTTTTCTCTTATAATAGTAAGTAGATATTATTAGTCGAAGACTAAACTAAATAAATAAAATAAGAGTAAAAAAAAAGGTTATATTAAACTTCTAAAAATGAAAGTAAAATTACGTACATGATCTTAAACTACTCTCGCACTTGAGCCCCATAAACCTAAACACTTAGACTTGGATAGATCTACATAAATAAAATAATTATTTTATTTTATTTATAGGTGTAGAATAATAATTTATAGGGGCAAAATAATAATTTAAACAAAAAGATTTCTTTATAATTTTATATAAAAAATATTTTAAAAAATAAGATTAAAAAGTAATCATCTAAAATCTTTCAAAAGATATATTTTAAATTTTCATACTTAAAAATATTTTTTTGAAGATAAGTCCCTACTTACTTTGAAAATTTTCAAACGATCCTTTAGAGAAAGATTTTGTTTGGAAATAGATGTATACCCCATGGTCGTTCGATATGAATGTTCTTGTTAATTTCACCATATAGAAAGGAATTTTTCATGTCAAATTGTCAAAGCTTCCATTTAACATTAGTTGCTAGAGTAATCACTAATAGATATTATTTTTGGCCACATGACTAAATATTTTATTATAATCTTATTTATATTTTTGAGAAAATTTACTTATAATAAGTCTTATCTTATAACGTTCTATATTTTTATTTGAGTTATGTTTTACCTTATAGACTCATTTGTAAGTAATTAGATCTATATTTATATGTTTTAGCATAAGATCTCAAGTTTATTTCTTCATCCATCACATCCTCGTATTCCTAAACACCTTTGGTTTTATCAAAATAAATAGGCTTAAGATCATCAACAAGAAACAATGACATATGCTTACATTGTCTCTATCTTTGTAACATGCTAGTTTAATAATTATTTTTTTTTATATTCTCAATATTAAAATTTTCTCTTCATGAACATTATTACTTTTATCACTTTGCTCTACCATTGGTAATGAAAAAATAATAGAAATAGATATATAAAAGGAAGTAGATAAACTAAAATCCATAGGAGTGCTAGATGATAAACGAAACTCAACTATTAGTTTTAAGCGTATTTCACTTTTACTATTGTGATTGATATTTTGAAAAGAAACTTCATCGAGCATAATATCTCGAGATACTACATCCCTATATATGTTTGTGGATTCATACATTTTCAATATTTCTTCCTTTCATCGTAATCAATAAAAATATATTTCTTAGCCTTAGCATCAAGCGTGCTTTTTTTTGTATGATATGTGAACATAGCATAAAGAACTAAATATTATGAATTGTTTAACATTTGGTTTCTTATCAAGCATAAGCCTTAAAGGAGACTTCATATTGATTGGACTAAGAAGTTTTCAATTAATAACAAAAGTTGCACATGTTATACATTCTACCTATAAAGTTTTAGATAAATTGAAGCCAACATTTATAAGTCTCTATCGGATATTGAATCTTTCATTCTGTCACACTATTTTATTATGGTGTATTTATATATGAGTTCAACTATAAAACATTTATCTCAATCTTCATAAGTAATATTAAAATAATTTTTTTATTTATAATATTTCCTCCTGTAATCTTAACATGATAATTTTTCTTGATATAACTTAGCTTGCCACACCTATAATACTTTATCTTCTTTTGATTTATATCATTGTTCCAAGAAGAGTCAATTTTCTATTAGCAATATCCTTCTTATCTTTATTTTTATTTATAAAAAAGGCATATTAATCTCCCCCTAAAGTTAAAAAATCTAAAGGTTTTTGAGAAGCAAAAAGATTTTTTCAATTTTACTAAAAATGATTGTTGAACCCATCCTTAAATATATTATTAGTTGTAAATCTTTAAGATCGATTTACAACTAATAATATATTTAAAGATAATATAAAATATAAATTTATGTTGTTGCATTGCCGCCAACCAGATCTCATAGAGATAAAACTTCAAACAAGTTTTCCATATCTTATAGCTATATTAAAAAAAGTTCAATATCAACCCAACCAACTCGATTATTGTAATTCATACTAAAAAAAATTATCTTCTTTACTAAAGTGATCTTGAAATATAGATTATTACCCTTGTGGTTCTGATACTAATACTATGTGAAGAAAGAGAGAGGCAAAAGACATGCAATTATAATCATTTCTCAAAATAAGAACAATAAGAAGATACTAGCTTGAGATTAAATCAAATAAAAGAAGAAGAACCAAGGTGGAAGTAGAAAAGAAAAGTTATATTGGATCCACATATCATCTATTTATAGATATAAAATAATAATTTAAATCAAGAGTTCTTTATCTTTATAATTTTACCTAATCAACTTATTTAAAAGATAAGATAAAAGATTATATATATATATATATATACATTAAATTTTTAACAGAAGAATCTGTAATCCACTGCTGCTGCGACTGGGATTGTGTTCTTTTTCATGTATTACTCGTGTAATCAGACAAGAGTTGCTTTGACTACTTCAGCATTAGGTGGCCTAAGCACAGTAAGTAGAGAAATGGAAGCACGATTTGAGTTCTCATCTCGGCACAACCATACGATTCGAGTCATAATAGGCAGCTGCAAAACGTCAGAGAAGAACTTTGTACGTGCCTGTGCCAGTGTGGTTGTGCCACCGCCTTCATTGCAGCAAGCTGGAGGAATCCATCCGCAACAATCTCGAGAGCATGGCTTCTTCACAGAGCTTGCTAGGTACCCCTCTCGATCGCTTTACTTGTCTTGATGTAAAACTCTTTGGAATATATGACTACTTACTTGGATTCAGCACCAGCATAATTTGGTTCTCCAATCTTGTTTTCAGCGTTTCCCTCAACCAAAATCTTTCTTTTCTCGTCCTCTTTCTGTGCACATACAGTTTGATCCTGTGGGGAATTTGTGTCATCTTTCAGGTTGGTTCCCTTGGGTCTGCGGGGAAGTGTTCGATCTTGGATCCGCATGCACACAAAGAAGCTTGATAGATTTCCTCAACATTCTTTTCCTTGTCATCTACTCCTTCAGCCTGCTTATAATAGCTTGTTTCAGAAGGCAGTCCAACAGCTGGAGTAGACGCCGGCGATGGGATTTCATCGTCATCTCTGTTTCCTGTGCTTTAACTGGCATTGCATACTTCAGCGCTGGCGTCAGGGCTTTATCTCTGGAAGAACATGAGCTCATGAACTGGACATGGCTCTCTTACTTCGCCAGAAGCCTAATCTGGATAGCTGTAGCTGTTTCCTTGATCATTCAGCCCACTGAATGGGTACAAAATCTAAGCCTAATCTGGTGGACTTCATCTTCACTTGTCTCCTCTGCACATACTTTGAACCTCCTGCTGAACGATGGTCGTCGTAGCCTTCCAATCCTCGATCTGTTGTCGTGGTCTGTGAACCTGCTGCTTCTTTACTGCGCCATCAGGCTCGCCGTTCAGAGGTATCTTCACAAAGGCAATCCAAAAGACGGCATATCTCGACCCTTACCGAGCGACAACAGACCGAACCATGCTGCGGTGAAGAAGGCTGGCCTACTCGGTCGCCTGACGTTTTCATGGTTGAACCCTTTGCTGCGTCTGGGTTTCTCCGAGCCATTGCACCTCGACGACATACCTCCGCTGGATTTGGAAGACGAGGCGTCGCATGCCTATAAGAGATTCTTCCAGATCTGGGATGTCGGGCGTGGGGCAAAAGGAAAGAGCAGGAATTTGGTGTCCTCGGCACTGGCAGAGTGTTACTTGATGGAGATCTTGATCACAAGTGTCTATGCGCTTCTGAAAACAGTAGCAGTTTCAGCATCTCCGATCCTACTTTACGTGTTTGTGCAGTACAATTACCGTGAGGAGAAAGATCTGTTCATGGGCCTCGCACTGGTTGGAATCCTGGTGCTGCTGAAGCTGGTGGAGTCCCTGTCCCAAAGGCATTGGTTCTTCGAGTCGAGGAAGCTGGGCATGAGGATGCGTTCGGCGCTAATGGCAGCCATATTCGAGAAGATGTTGAAGCTTTCGAGCCATGGCAGGAGAAAGCATTCCACGGGTGAGATCGTCAACTACATCGCGGTTGACGCCTACAGACTCGGGGACTTCCCTTACTGGTTTCACATGGCATGGAGTCTACCGCTGCAGCTGCTGTTCTCGGTGGCGATACTCTTTTGGGCTGTCGGCATCGGTGCACTTCCGGGGCTCGTTCCTCTGATCATCCTCGGGATCGCCAACGTGCCCTTCGCGAAGATCTTACAGAGTTACCAATCCGAGTTCATGTCGGCGCAGGACGAAAGACTGAGGGCAACATCCGAAGCCTTGAACAGCATGAAGATCATCAAGCTGCAGTCATGGGAGGAACACTTCAGGAAGATGATCCAAGATCTCAGAGACGTGGAGTTCAAGTGGTTGTCGGAGATCCAGAACAAGAAGGCCTACGGCTCTGCTCTGTATTGGATGTCTCCCACCATCGTTTCATCGGTAGTGTTTGCAGGCACGGCAGCCATGGGAAGCGCTCCTTTGAATGCCAGCACGATCTTCACGGTGCTCGCAACATTGCGTGTCATGTCGGAGCCTGTCCGAATGCTTCCTGAGGTCCTTTCGATCATGATTCAAGTCAAGGTATCATTAGATAGAATCAACACCTTCCTGCACGAAGACGAAATCAAAGAAGATGATGTCAAGAGAAGCCATCTACAGAACTCCAATCTCAGTGTCCAGTTGAGGAATGGGGTTTTCTGTTGGGAAGCAGGTGAATCTATCCCCACGCTAAAGAATCTTAATCTGACCATAAACAAAGGAGAAAAGGTAGCTGTTTGTGGGCCTGTTGGTTCTGGGAAATCATCATTGTTGTATGCCATACTTGGAGAGATACCAAAACTCTCAGGATCTGTGAGTCAGGAACATCAATTCTCTTGGATAGAACGGTTACTTCCTCGACGTAATCTTGAGATTGTAATGCTCTGTTCTTTTCAGGTTGAGGTCTTCGGATCGATCGCATATGTTTCGCAGACATCCTGGACTCAGAGCGGGACACTTCGTGACAACATTCTCTACGGGAAACCAATGGACGAGGCACTCTACGAGAAGGCCATCAAATCATGTGCACTGGACAAGGACATCGACAACTTCGACCACGGCGACCTCACGGAGATTGGGCAGAGAGGACTGAACATGAGCGGGGGGCAGAAGCAGAGGATCCAGCTCGCTAGAGCAGTCTACAACGATGCAGACATTTATCTCCTCGACGATCCTTTCAGTGCAGTTGATGCGCATACTGCTGCGATCCTTTTCCATGTAAGAACGGCTGCTGCGTTTCTGAATGTAATGCTTTCGTCTGCATGTGTTGCCTAAACTACTGGTGGGACGATGAAAACCTGCAGGATTGTGTGATGTCTGCTCTGGAGAAGAAGACCGTCGTTCTTGTGACTCACCAAATTGAGTTTCTCCCGGAAACCGATCGGATTCTGGTAAGGTGGCTTCTTTTGGCGAGGCTCGTTCATGAGCAAGTCAGGTGGGGGCTTGACCAGCTTCTTGCTTGCCAGGTGATGGAGCATGGAAAGGTCGCACAGGAAGGAACTTACGAGCAGCTACTGAAGTCGGGAACAGCTTTCGAGCAGTTGGTCAATGCTCATCAATCTTCCATGAACATCATAGATTCTTCAAGCCATGGAAACCAAAATCTTGCAGAAAGTGCAGGCGGTGGTCAAGAACACGACGCACATCAGCCCACAAAGCAGGAGAGTGAGGTCGAAATATCCAGTCAGGGCCTCTCAGCCGCGCAGCTCACCGAAGATGAAGAGACGGCGATAGGTGATCTCGGATGGAAGCCATATCGAGACTATCTCCAAGTTTCCAAGGGTTACACTCTTCTTGTTTGGATGATCCTGCTTCAATCTGTATTCGTGCTTCTCCAAAGCCTCTCGGGCTACTGGTTGGCCGTGGTCGCCCAGCTGCAGCATGTCAGTGGTGGAATCCTGGTTGGAGTTTATGCAGTGATCTCAATCCTTAGCTGCCTCTTTGCATACACGAGAAGCTTGGTTGCTGCTCGACAGGGTCTAAATGCCTCGAAGGCTTTCTTCTCCTCTCTCATGGACTCGGTCTTCAAAGCTCCTATGTCGTTCTTCGACTCGACACCCGTGGGAAGGATTCTAACAAGGGTGAGTGAAGTACTTCCCATCCTCAGCAGCATCGTGTCACACATTGTACTGACAAATCTGTATGTTACCACTGCAGGTATCCTCTGATCTGAGTATTTTGGACTTCGACATACCTTACTCCATCGTTTTTGTGCTGTCTGGGTCGTTAGAAATCTCAGGAATGATAATAATCATGGCATCTGTGACATGGCAAGTGCTGATCGTAGCAGTCCCAGTGATGATCAGAATGATCTTTGTTCAGGTAACTCTCCTACCGGCTCTGCTTTCACTCGCTGCCAGTTTGATCTCTCATGGCCATGTGGAATTGCAGAGGTACTATGTGGCATCAGCAAGGGAGCTTGTAAGGATCAATGGAACGACGAAGGCACCAGCCATGAACTACGCAGCAGAGTCATTGAATGGTGTTGTGACGATCCGTGCTTTTGGGACAATCGACAGGTTCATCCAGACTAATCTACGCCTAATCGACACCGACGCAGCGTTGTTCTACTACACGATCGGCACACTGGAATGGGTGCTTCTGCGGGTCGAGGCACTCCAGAATCTGACCATATTTACTTCATCTCTTTGCCTTGTTCTGCTACCACAAAGAACTATCTCTCCTGGTACATGAATGACCACATCCATCTTTTAGTCATTGGATACAGCTCAATTTTGATCACCGGATTCCTTTGGATACGTTGCAGGATTCTCTGGTCTCTGTCTCTCCTACGCTTTAACTCTTTCTTCTTCCCAAGCCTTCTTGACAAGGTTTTACTCCACCCTAGAAAACTGTATCATCTCTGTGGAGCGGATAAAGCAGTTCATGCATATCCCATCAGAGCCTCCTGCGGTCATCCATGACAAGAGGCCGCATCCACCTACGTGGCCCAGCGAAGGAAGGATAGATTTGCAAGATCTAAAGGTGAGGAGTTAGATCATGTATCAGAACTTTTGCCATCTTGTGAGTCATCTGATAGACTTTTGTCGAACAGGTGAGGTATCGTCCAAATGCTCCTCTGGTTCTCAAAGGGATCACCTGCACCTTTGCGTCAGGACACAAGATAGGGGTTGTGGGAAGGACTGGGAGTGGGAAAACAACTCTCATAAGTGCACTGTTTCGTCTGGTGGATCCAACCAGTGGGAGGATTCTGATCGATGAGGTCGACATATGCTCCATCGGCCTCAAGGATCTCAGAATGAAGCTGAGCATAATACCTCAAGAGCCCACTCTGTTCAGAGGCAGCATCCGAAGCAACCTGGATCCTCTTGGCCTTCATACCGATCAGGAGATATGGGAGGTAGCCAAATCACCATATCTCCGTAAGAATTATGATCGACAGTCAATCTGTCATTTACGTTCTCCATGAACTGACAATTGCAGGCCTTAGAGAAATGTCAGCTGAAAGCGGCCATCAGCACTCTTCCTACTCTGCTGGATTCACCCGGTGAGACCGTCTGTTCACTAGAAATAACCTCGATCACATACGGCGACGGTCTAATTTGCTCCACTGACAGTGACCGACGATGGCCAAAACTGGAGCGCCGGGCAGCGCCAGCTCTTTTGTCTCGGTCGCGTCCTCCTCCGGAAGAACCGAGTCCTCGTGTTGGATGAAGCAACTGCGTCCATAGACTCGGCAACCGATGCCGTGTTACAGCGAGTCATCAAGGAGGAGTTCGCAAGCTGCACGGTGATAACAATTGCTCATAGAGTACCGACAGTCACAGACAGTGACATGGTCATGGTACTTTCTTACGGTATGTTCTCTGAGACAGACAATTCTTAGACTCGCAAATTACTGCGTGTAATGGTGATCGGTGCAATGGTTACTCTTTTCTTGTTCACTTGAAATTGGAACCCGCAGGTAAGCTGGTGGAGTACGACAAGCCATCAAGACTAATCGAGAACCGCAGCTCGGCCTTCGCCAAGCTGGTGGCAGAGTATTGGTCGAACTGCAGACGAGACTCTGCTCATTCTCTCTCAAGCTACTAGGAGGAGTTGACACACCAGAGAAGACCTTGAGTTCCTCATTTCATAAGGTTTCCAATTACAAAAGATCGGTACTCAAATGTCAGCCGAGGTCTTCATCGTCTCTTTCTTACAGATTTTGGGCATGAAATAAAACTATTTAGCATGTTGGCACTCGGTGTAGTCCAACTCCTGCAGAGTGTTCATCTCAGTAATCGAATACTAAAATGTGTGGTAGAGTCCTTCCAAGAATTCTTGACATTAATTATGTATATGATATTAATACTTAGATAAGTGTTTGGCTTTTCTAACCCCATCATCAACCCACCGCCTCTGTAGCTTTACATGAACTGATGCAAGGTGACAAGAATGAGTCGAAGAAACACAATCCAGGGGCTTCATCGCAGCCAAATTACACGACTGGGGGAATGAAACCAGAGAGAGAGAGAGAGAGAGGGGTTAATTATTAGGCCACAAAACATGCAACTCTTGTGGCTGACTCACATGACCTGCGAATCTGCACGCCCACCTTTCCGCCGAAAGGGACAACACTCCCCATTTACACCCGCTTTGTCCTCTCCTTCATGTTCACCTGCCTTTCGCAGTCGCCCTTCCTCTCGAGTCCTCGTGCATGCACCGAAGACGACACAGTGGGCATGCATAGATTTCCATGTCACAACAAGGTTTTCTCACTCGAACAGCATCCTTAGGTTTCTTTCCATATCGTCAGAGACCAACCATTGCCTCATAGAAACCAGGGCGCATGAATGGGCCCGTTGATGACATGACAACCGAAGTGCTATGTGGTCCCTCTGCAACCATACACAAGCTGAGCCATATGCATACAGCTATGAGGGCATATCTGTCTTAGGAAAACATCACATACATAATAGAGTAAACTAATCCAAATGGTGCCCAGCTTGCGCCATTCCTCTCCTCCCCCTCTCTCCTTAAGCTTCTTTATTTTGCTGAGAGAGAGAGAGAGAGAGAGAGAGAGAGAGAGAGAGAGAGAGAGAGAGGGAGCCATGGAGCCTCACCACCACGCTTCGTGTTCCCAGGGGTTGACCCAGGAGGAGATGGCAGCGCTGGAGCCGGTGATCCGAACGCACCACACCTTCCCGGGGGCGCCGGGGACGTGCACCTCGCTCATCACGCAGCGCATCGACGCGCCCCTGCAAGCCGTGTGGCCCGTTGTCCGGCGGTTCGACAAGCCGCAGCGGTACAAGCACTTCATCAAGAGCTGCAGCCTGGTCCACGGCGACGGCGGCGTCGGCAGCGTCAGGGAGGTCACCGTGGTGTCGGGCATCCCGGCGTCGACGAGCGTCGAGCGGCTGGAGATCCTGGACGACGACCGCCACATCCTCAGCTTCAGCGTCATGGGCGGCGAGCATCGGCTCAAGAACTACCGGTCCGTCACGTCGGTCACTGAGTTCCACACGGAGGGCAAGGCCTACACCGTCGTCTTGGAGTCGTACGTGGTGGACATCCCCGAGGGGAACACCGAGGAGGACACCAAGATGTTCACCGACATCGTCGTGAAGCTCAACTTGCAGAAGCTTGCGACGGTGGCGATGGCCTCCTCGTGAGATCACACACCTTCAAACTGTGGTTAGTTGGGCGATGATGAACATGAACGATTATCCTCCTTTGTTTAACTCCATTTCTAATGGCTGCTGTACTCAGAAGAGAGGAGAGCAAGTGGGGAGGGTTCTTTAATGACTGCTGCTGCTTTGTATATTCTAAGCCATGGTGGTGGATCGCTGTATTAGTTTAATGTCAACATATTAAGGAACGCTTCTGCCTTGTTTCTGTGTTCTCTCTCTCTCTCTCTCTCTCTCTCTCTCTCAGAGTTCTGAGCCATGAAGGCTGGCCAATAAATAGTCTAAGTGGTGCCACCACTTGCATAAAACTAGGGCAATACATCTCATGAAGAAGGAGAGGGCCACAAAAGGAGTCAACCCATTCAATGGACAGACAGCAAGGATTGTGCGTGTTTGTGTGTGTGCATCAGGTGGTGGGGCTAAAGCAGACCTCCTCCTGGTACCGGATTAGATTTTCCAATGGCCATGACCAGGAATGCCCCTTGAGAGGTAGGAAAGGAGAAAAAAGAGCAGTAAAATAGTAGTCCATCCAAAGGCATTGGTTTCAGGAGGTTGACCAAGTACAAAGGTGGAGGCTCGAGCATAGGAAACATGTGAAGGGACCTTGGGAGACATGTGACACTGCCTCAGAACTCTCATCTCTCATGGAGAGAGAGAGAGAGAGTTTGAGTGTGAGCCACTCTTTCCAGTCTCTACTTCTATCAACTACTAACAAACTGGAAAGGGACCCCTGTGCTCTATCTATCAGGAGGTCGTGTCCTCTCCATCCCCTTTCTTTCTGCTTGCTCAGAAGTTGATGCTGTTCCCAGGGAACCTAGAAGCAATGACAATGTCAGTCCCACGAGGGGACAAGTCTTCTGCTGCTTGCAGACCAGGTGAGGGGAGAGGGGAAAGGGAAGAGACTTGAAACTTAAGGAACTGTCTTATCTAATTAAATTCCCAGAGATCAGAGGGTATGATAATGCAGAACTTGGAAGTCATGCACCATGTCTCAACTCACTGCACTCACAGACCATGCACCACAGGAAGAGACTCTTCCACAGGACACTGCTTCCTCGTAGGACTGGTTGAGAGAGCACAGCTCTCCTTGATCTCCTGATTAGTTTCATACAGCAAAATTGACCCAAGTAACAGAGGCGGTATGCAATGATATCAAAATATTAGAAAACCCTAATCTCATCACGATGCACAATTGAGTCATAAAATTGTCCAAGTAACAAAGGCAATTTCCAATGATGGATACAGATGTATGTTAATATGATACAATTTCAAGAGCAATCAGTTCAATACATGGAACTGAAATGCCTCAACTGCTCAAATACAAGAAAATTGCCAGCTACATTTATTAATACCCTTTGGGTAATTGTATTTTTTCTTTTCTGATGTCCATGACCTTCAGCAGCAGGGGCTAAGAACTATTTACAGGCATCATACATCTGTGCCAATCTGTAAAAAAAATAAGAACTGAACAAATGGAGATGTACACTTTGTAAGGATATTAAACTGTACATAACAAAATCAGCTCCTTTGGAAGGAAGATGCATGCAAGAATTTAGAAGCAGGCCTTTGTGATTTTAAGTGTTGTATCGATTGCTTTCAGCATCAGCTTGTGTGAAGGGATGATGGATGGTTACTCTTATTCTCTGTCACTGCTGAAGCAGCAGCTGCTTCGTCTCGAGATGGAACCTTAAGCCATGACTTCATGATATCGTATACAGTAAATCCTATTGCCACTGATGGTACGACCTACAAAAACAAATATGTACCAGTTCTTGTTAAGAGACTTTTACAAGAAAGCAATCCGTATTAAGAAACACCAAATACACATCTGATTAAGAAGACTAGATGTGACTAAGATGCTGCAATCACGTTGTTAAGTCAAATTGATGTTATTAAAGTAGAAGCGAAAGAGTTGATATAAATTCGATCAAATCATTTGTGACCTTCAATGAAATAAATGACGATGAAGAGAACAGACCTTCAAGTAGTTGATGCTCAGTCCAGAAAAGAGTTGTCTCCAACCCTGAGTTTGGGATATCATGACAAGGCTTTCAAAGGTTCCCTTCCCTGATTTATTGTTAGATGTTGAGAGGGCTTGTACCTGGATTGTAATCCTTTTGTAACAATAATTTCTTCCAGTTTTCTAATTTATAAAGTTTAATGAGTATATACACGAGCAAGATACCTGCATTTGTCGTCTAACAACATCAAGGGGATATGTTATTGTTTGCCCCAATAAAGCAGCCAAAGATCCACAAGCAAGCTTCATAATAACATCTTGTTTGTGCTCTTCAGGTATATGCCTCTTCAACTCCTCGTAAAAATAGAACTTGAGACCAGAGTAAGGGAAGATCCCATACAATGATGGACCTAATAGCAAAATTCATATTACTCTACCAACAAAGCAATAATAAGCGTAGAAGAATCAATCAATAAGTATATAAAAACTTAGAGCACAGTGATAACAATGGAAATAACACTTATGACCGACCGGTCATGTTTAACTATGACCTATTGAAGTGAATCTAACTCGAGTTTATCAATTAGAGTCACCTAGTTTGGCTTGCTTTCAAAGAGGAATCCCAATCCAACCAGCTTCTGAAGAACGATACAGGCTTGGTAAATCAAGAAATCATGTCTTGTTTCTTGGTCATGTCTGATTTACAAGTCATTCTATACAACATTTAAGCACCACTTATATGTCTAGAGGTGCAGGTTTATATTGAGACATTTGAGAAAATTTGTAGTTCAAATCAGTCCAAAGAGCTGCATGGATTGTCACCTCTGTTCATTCTAAATGCACTAACATTATACCAACCAAATAATTTAAATAAGCGGTGAAGATCAGCTTTTCTATATCAATTCAAACAGATGGATGATAAGAGAAACAGCAGTAATCTCTTAACTTATGAATGAAGATGTTGCTGCTTGAGTCGTGGCTGGTTTGATAGGCTGATTGATCCAATAGCTTGAATATAATGAACCTAGAACCACATGGCCTAGAAATGCTAAAGTCCAAGCTATTGGTGGTAGACTCATCTAGTCCTATATACAACCTAAGCTACTTTGTCCTTTATAAAACATCCAAATTTTTTCCACATAAATTCTGATTTAACCAAGTTCAAAAGAAACTATATACTTCCTTTATAAACATTTCATAACAAAATAAGGTTCCTGATAATTGACCATGATATACTGAAACACTTCTACAATATCTTTTTATACTTCAGTAAGATCAGAGAGCATAACATAACAAGTCCAAAGTAATAAAATAAAATTGCATCACCACAGACCTACACCACGATATAGGCCTCTCAAGCCATTCTGTCTGTGTATCTTCAAAATACAATCAAGAATCCCCCGATAAACCTGTTCAGAAGAGTGATAAGGACCTTTATTTTTGAGCCGTGATGGTCCTACAACCTGCAAAGGTTCCAAAAATCCATTTCAGACATGTAAACATTTCATATAAAGAATCCAAAAGAGCAGGCAGATAATGTCAAGCTCAAGACCAAAGATGAATCCAGATCTCAGACATAAAACAGGTGTATTTATCCTATAAGAAATGACAAGATCATATATCTATACGTGTTCAGGAAGTTAATGGTATGACTCTCAGGACATACAAGGAAAAAAAAAGGAAAAGAAGTGAAGCCCTCAACTAACAGTTTTATACACCTGATAGGCCAGCTTTGTACGAACTAAATCAAGAGGGTAAGTGAAAATAACTGCAGTCCCTCCAGCTATCGACCCTGCAACAAGATCAAGAACAGGACCCTTTCCCACATCAGGAAAACCAAGAATGATCCATCTTCGATATTGTTCATATGCCATATAATGCAAAGCCGCATAGGGAACAATTCGGGCAACACTGGCTCCATTCCCCCTGAGAAACAAAGAAAACCCAAAAAATATCCCGAATTGGATAATTCTGCATCAAGTAGATAAGACTGACTAGCTTGAAGGTTGCTAAACTGTAAATTTATAGACAAACCTGTAGAATCCTAATAAACCTTCTGTCTGTAGAATCTTTTGAAAGGATCCCAACAATCCTACAGTGTGAAATTCTGCTCTTCTAGTCTGGGAGATAGCATGAAATTGCAAAGACATATATTTAAATGTTGATACATATAAAAACCCAAAACATTTTCTGTATTCTTAAATGAATGAGTGACCATCTTGAATGATTCCTTCTTACCCTTCCTCCACCCTAAAGCTCAAGTTTCTAATAGAACTATGAGAGTAAAACACCTCATGAAGCGTGAAGCATCCAAGAGAGTTGATCAAACTATCGATAGCCTTCTCTTCCGCTGATTGGATAAACTCAAGAAGAAAGCAAAAAAGTTTACAAAGGATGCAACCAGGGCAAAAACAATACCACTGAGGTCAACTTCTTTTCTCTATCTTAGTCAATTTAGTCAAGTTCCCCATTGATTCATTTCAATTACATACCACATGGAGACAATTGTGACGGTTGCATCTAGTCGAGACTAATTTTCCAGAGATCTCTAAGAGTTGTGACTCTTGTTCAGTGTCATTAGGATTATGTCAACTAAAGGGCAGCATATAATGGCAGATGATAAGTATCGAAATCTAATTAGGCCCAATTGTTGTGGAAGCACTTTCCCCGATCGTTAATTTCACCTAATTCAATCACAACATGGTTCAAACAGGATCACGAACACTATTTACTCGATACAATCGCTTGAATTCTTGATAACGCCCCTATCGGAACATCTTCTACGCGCAACACAAGCATCAAACGGAATAACCTTCGGCATATCCCGATCCTTCGATTTCCCCGTCCCAAATCCAACCAAGAAAGTCACCCCTAACAACCGTACCGATGACCCACTGTCGATGCGACGATTCGAACTCGAGGGCTGAGCCCATTCAAATGCCGAGGCAGGAGAATCGAACCTGGAACAGGATCTTCACGCGCTCGAGCGGCGCGACTGCCGTCTTGGCGACACCGCCGGCGACGCCCCCGGCGACGAACTCCTTCACGATGAGCGGGACCCGTCCTCCCCTCACGTCCTGCTCCACCGCCTTTGTCGCCGCCACCTCTCTTCGCCTCTCCTCCGCCATGGGAGGAAGAGAGGGGGGCCGTCCAATTTGGCGAATGCAGAACCAGCTCGACGTCCGCCTATCGAGGGCGGAACGCGACCAAGGAAAGCCGTCGAACGGGGTCGGTGGGGAACACAAACAATACCTGCCTACGTAAGGACAGGTCGCGGGTGGGTCCCACACGGAACCTCCAATTACAAGTGGGATGGCTCGAAGGAGTTAACGAAACCATGCGATCGACCGCGTACCGTCCGTTGTAGTATACGGAACAAATTTTGACCGTCGGATCACTGTTGGACGGACATAGGTGAATACTACAAAGAGACGCCTTTTCGTCGTCGTCACAATCATCCTATGAAATTGTGAATATAAGACATCTAAACCTAACTCACTCGATAATGCTTAGACCACTGGAAGAAGATGGAGCGATGAAATATAAGAGCCCAATTTGTTTGCTCTTCCGTTTCTCTCTTTTCTGTTCACTGTATCTCATTCGATCCTCATCTATCCACGTTGGAGTGACCACATGTGGATTAGAATGCAATGTAAACCTAGAAACACTATATTTCCCAGAAGCAAACAACGATGCTATCTCGGGTTAGTGCGAAGCTTAAAGCATCAGCCTGTCTTATAATGACTGAAATCTTTAACCAACTTGCAAATCTTAATTCAAGTTCGAAGAACAGCAGAAGGCTAATGATTGAGGAGAGCGCATCGCCCTCATCGTTATTTCATCACCACAAAAAATTGAATTTATATAAGTTATTTGAGTACAAAAGAATGTAGCACAATCCAGCACTTAGTTTATCCCACTTCGTGATAATATCTACAGATCATTAACCTGCTGTTGCACTAAAATCTCCAAAGAAAGAAAAAATTTACATGTAAGGAGTATATCTCGAAGTTTTACACGCAAAATTGATTTTGGCATTGCAACATTCATCGGCGATGAAATTGAATGAACTTCTCAGACTTCAAGGGATATTCGAGTCTTGATGGGCTTTAGCTTCAGTCCCATGCTCTCTGGCGAGAGCAATTCTGGAGAGATGCACAATGGATTAAGAGGACTTGGTGGGCTGTAGCTCAGCTGGCTTGGTCGGTACAAACCGTACCCCATGAGGAAGTACTCCATTGGTATCAGCATGGCTTGGGGTTGCTCTTCTGTCACCACTGACCCACATGCCTGAACCTGAAGCATTTTTAAGGATGCGAAAACAAGAATGAGACAAGAAGAACAAATTTATAAAGAGTCGATGATCGTAGGAGGAATCGGGGACAATTCAAATGAGTACCTCAACCAATGCGCTGTATCTCCTATCCAGTTTTGTGGTCATGTGGAGGGCCTCTGAGTGAAACGGAGAGTCCTCACCCACAAAAATTAGAGTCCGACACCGGAGTTTCTTCAGTGCTCCCGTTAAATCATGTCTCCTGATTTAACCATGGGCTATTAAATATTTACTACTTTATTCATCATGGACAACAGTTTTTCGAGCAAAGAAAGTAAGGGCATACCCGTTCAACGACTGAAGAAAACGCCAAACATTTGCACTCTGCTTCTCATCCAACAACTGCAGATGGTAAAATAAATGTATCATGAGGAAGAATGGAAATACATATTAAAAGTTCTTCGAAATCAAGACAGCGGACGGATTACTAACACTTTTACAGGCTTGCACTATGTCCGACTCAGGAACCTGTGAACTTCCTCGAACTTCCTGATAAAGCAATAAAATGGATAAAGAACTAAATGCTGCAGAAAACAAAATAGCAGGGGAGTGAACCGATCCTAGCATACCTTACTGAAGTACCGCTGGAGTAAGTATTCCTTGACTAATCCACACATTCCATAAAAATATAGTAAATTTGACACTACCTGAGATTTCAGGTCTGGTATTAGCACCAACTCTTAATTGAAACAGAAACATCACAAGGTGAGATTGTTAGAAGATACCTTAGTATACAACCACTCGGACCACGAGGGAGCCTTACAAAGAGGTGAGACAAGTATGAGACCTAGGACACGCTCCCTATACTTACTCTGAAAGCAGACCATAGAGCAGTTCTAACTCAGTTAAAGTTTGAACAATCACATATGTGAAGGGCAGTAATGATAAAAGACTTACAGCAAAAAGGGTAAGAATATAAGCACCAGCTGTGACCCCAAAGCACATGGCAGACACTAACCTGGAAAGGTCAAATCAGACTAAATCAATTACTGCTAAAACAATGACCAATTGGATACCTAAAAAACAGTCATAATCATTACGGTTATGAAAATGACCACGGTGTGATAATTACCCAAAGAAATCAAGAACGTCGGCCACCTGATCAGCTAACTGATCTACAGAAAGCACTGGCTCATCTGAGGAAAATGGAGCAGCACCCAACTGCAGGACTCTTAAAGTAGCTGAATTTAGAGTAATATTCAGAATATGGATCATAGACAAGCTTAATATTTTGACATAAGCTGCAGTTACTGACCTCATGTCCTGGAGGACTAATATGGTATATGCAGAAATTATGAAGAAGCAAAGAAGCAGCTTCTGGGCAAAAAAATAATCCTTGAAAGCACGACAAATCTGAAGAGACAAAGGAGTAGGAAGTTAGGTCCAGTTTCAAATTCTAGAAGAGTAACTTTCGTTACTTTTCTCAGTTTAAATACAATTGCAGGAGAGCATATGTTGCATCTAAGGCACAACAAAGTTAAGCTCCACAACACCCAAGCATGCAGGATTAAGGAATCGATATACCAAATAAATTGAAAATTTTTAGTAGAAGAAAATCAAGAGAAGGTAAATGGGCATGAGGTCTTAAGAAAAGGGTGATATAGTGTTCAAAATAAGTAACACCGCCATTATCGGCCTCAAGCCCAGATGAAAAAAGTGAAAGATTACATTAGGTCACTAACAACTAGTACAATACTATATCAGATCTCATGAATATGGATCTTAACTGATTAGCGACAAAAGATCCATGTAACGATTGGCGACAAAACTATGTCAGATCTTAACCGATCAGCGACAAAAGATCCATGTGGCGAATCCCAAATAGTTGGGACTTGGCTTTGTTGTTGTCACTGTTATTATTGTTGTTATGTTCAAAATAAGTAAAGGACACAAGCATCTCTCAGCTTCAGTTGACTAAATAACTGAACACAATTGAAACTTATAAGGAAAGAAGAACAGCTAAAAAATAGTATTGTCATCCAACTTACGATTTAAAGCAACATCCGGATAAGTAATAAGTGCAGGCTTTTCCAGATCCCCATATACAGCAACTGAAATAGGGCCATGGCTTGTTAACAGATGATGTTCCTGAAGAAACCAACATAAGTGTCTTTGAGCAACAAATGATAAACTATAGAAAGAAGATTTAATAAATTAGAGATTCTCTCTCTCTCTCTCTCTCTCTCTCACACACACACACACACACACACACACGAAAAGCAAACACATTCAATAAATAAAAATACCAAATTTCTCATAAAGCAAAAGTAATGCAGAACTCAGCTACGTTGAGAATATAGAAAGAGGAATATAGCAAACTAAGTAAACAACCAACGAACAACTAAGCACACAAAGGATAGAAAAACCGAAAACCAAAACACTAAATTGCTTGCAGCTGTAAGGATTTAGGAAACCACTTTCATCAAGCAAGTATTTCAGACTGAACTCAGTCTCCAGGCAGGCAACTGATACACGAAGCTCAGATTACCCCAAATAACACCCAGTGCGACAGAAAGAGAACCAAAATGCTTCCCACGATGATAAAACCCAATGAAAAGAACGCATTTGCTTGCCGAGATTAACACCAAATTCAACATTTCCCCATTAATCAACCAAAAAGACTACAATAAATTATCAAATGAATCGACGAATCCCTTACCTTCCCTCCAAAGGAAATCCTCTCAACATCCACCGGGATCGACCCGCTCGATTCTCCCATCCCTCCTCCCTCCCCTCTCCTTGTATATCGTTTCCTTTCCCGTTCTCCCTTTTGAACCTCTCTCTCTCTCTCTCTCTCTCTCTCTCATGGCTTGGCTTATTAAATACACCACCGAGGCTCTCCTCCTCTCCTCTTAACCATGGTCAAACTTAACTGCGGTTTACGAGATGCATTTCGACCGACAGTTTAGATCAAATGACGATACTGCCCTTAGCAGGATACCCACCGTCCGATGAACGGCCATCGAAGACCCGAGCCGATCCCGTGAAGACCGGAGATCTCCGCCGTCTGGTGGGTTCGCGAAGGTCGGAAAGCTTGATGCGTCGACCACCGAGGGCCCGCTGTGTCACCAATGGTTGCTTACCGCGTGGAGTAAAGGACACGAAGCGTGTCTAGCCAAGGACAGGGGAGCCGGCAGCCCACGTGATGGCGCGTTCGTTGCCGCGTGGGAGGGAGCGCCGCGGCATGGAGGCGAGCTTGGAAGGACACGTGGGGTGTAGTTAATGCGGAGATTTTATGGAGGCTGTTTCCTGCGGTGCATGGCATGGGCCTCCCCTGTTGTTGGAGCAATTCTCTATTTCTTTTCATGTTTAATCATCTACCAAATATCATATTTATTGAATGCATTTTAATATTATTCATGATAAAAAAATGCTTGATTAATTCTATTTCTTGTTTTATGGGCTTTATGGGCTTCGGTTAGACCTCAAAGTAAAGTTCAGTTGTTCTTAGTTTATGTCTTCAACAGCACATGGAACAGTATTTTCTTCGGGAATTCTGTAAATCTATATTAAAATAAGTTTTCGGGGATATTATGTTTCATGTCCAACAGCATACTTGTCCATTCTTCCTCTTACCTCAGAGCCATCACCACATCTAATCATTTATGGCAGACACTAGTGCAACTTTTAGAAGCCACAATGCACATCAACTCAGGATAGCACTTTAGACTTCTGCAACAAAGCAAGTCAATGACCTTTGCGAACACTGGAACAGTCGCTGTATAATATTTACCCTCGTCAAGATACATGTTATCGGAACATATGGATGTGCAATATATTAGTAAAATGAAAAGGTTATCGGAAATAATTTTAAATTTTATTTTAAAATAAAAAAATATTAGATTAAGATTTTTTAAGTTAAAAATAAAATTAATATAATTTTAATAAAAAAATAGTGACATATGTCTTTTTTTTACTTTTGAGAAGTAATTTTCGATACGTTCAAGATCATTCTTCTATTAATATTAAATTATCTAAAAATATTTATATTATTTTAAAATAATTTAAATTTTAATATTTAAATGAATCAAGTAATCAATCGATGAATATACTTTGTTCTATTACTAAAAAAAAGATGGGACTCGACGGACGATGGATCAAGGTCCTCAATCCTATGTATATATATTAATTTGATATATTTATCAAACTCAATCTTGAAATTGATCCAATGATATGATACAATGATACAATGTGAGTCATTTGTGTATTAATATGATAATGGTCATAGTCTAATCGTCGTGAATCACACATATCCAAGATGACTCCTAAGGCAAGGACAATTATGGCATGAGAATATAGAAAATATCAAAACTTATACTTTCGTCACTAATCCGTATCATAATATCGATTATCGTACGATTACTTGAATAAATATCATCAATTATCATCATACTATTATTGATTATATAATTCTCTATAATACAATATACAGATACGATGAGCTTTACTTTGTGTTCACATCACGTAGGTTCTATCATATTTATTCAAAATCATTTATTATATTCTTTTTCTGCATGGTCTGAATCTTACGTGACATGTGTAAAATTTTATTTCTCGCCACCCTCAAATTATATAGACGAAACCATCAACTCCCAATATAGTCACTATCATTATTCGGGGTATTATTAACCACATTTACTTTCAATTGGCATTGCCCAATCCACCAATGTAGAGTAACATTAATGTGCTCATCAAAACCTGATTAGAGCTGTAAAACCAGATAGCATAAGGCAATCTTAAATAATTTCCATGACCTCTGATTGCATACACGTGAAGGAGTCTCTCTTGTTCTAATTTCCAACTTTATATTCGATATCTATAACGCTTGGATTTCTTGTTGACTTGTATACGGTGCATGGTTTGAGCAGCACAAAATCCATTAAGTTGTAGGAGGTGCCTCTCCATCCTCATCTTTCTTGCAAGAAAAAAAAAGAGATTGAGATTTTAACTCGCTTAATTTTCTTAATGATATGAGAGTTATTCTTCTAAAAAAATACTTTTCTTCCCACTTGGAAGCAGCTAATAATGGAAGTCACCATGGTTAACTTTGCCATTAAATATTACTAGTAGCTAAGTGAGTAAAGTGGCAGCCAGATGAGCAGGAAAATGTATATTTTATTATTTAAAATCATTTTCATTGAACAACATGACAAGGATAGCACATAGTTAAATCCCTGTCCATATATATATATATATATATATATATATATGAAGAGTATTAACTTTAAATTGAATTATAAAATAAAATAAAAATAAGTACCCCGATTGGATTCAAATTTTGGAATGCTTATATATAGTCCAATCGAATTCCTTAATAATTTGAACCTGTTATTGGATCTCCAACCCGAAGCCTTTTTCTTGGCCCGTAGAATTGTTCAAGGAACGTCGATCCACCGTACAAAGATGTACCTTGGAAACATCAGAACCGTCCATTTGAGATCCGCGATATTTTAGATGATGACAAGGGAAGGCTGAAAAATTGTATTCCTGCTTAGGAACCATCTTGACCGTCCAATTGAGATCGACGGTGGAAAGCGCAGATGGAACCCATGCCGCACACTGAACCCGCGTGTACATCCGCCGCACACAGAATTAGTTTTATCTCCCCACCGTTGCACGCCGCACGATAAATAGCCCCTCTTTGGGCCTCCGCTTAGGGTTTCCGCGTCACCTCTCGCGTCACCTCCCTCTCGAGCTCCCTGCTTTGCCGACAGAGGCCGCTCCCATGGCGGACGACCTCCACTACTCTTCTCGACCCGACAACAAGCGAAAGTTCGACGATCCGTCCGCCGGCGCGGCCCCCTCGCCCCCCGCGAGGCGGGCAACGGGGTTCTCTGCCCCGATCGCATCTTCGTCTCCCGACGGTGGATCCGGTGGTGCCGCTCCTGGCCAACCGTCCTACAACAGCGTCCCGCCGCCAATGGACGGGATCCAGCTCGCGAAGCAGCGGGCCCAGGAGATCGCCGCCAGGCTCTTCAGCGATGCCGAGGCCAAGCGCCCTAGGGTTGAGAACGGAGTGGGAGCGGATGACTCGCGGGACAAGGGGTTTGGATTTGCTGCAAGTGGTAAGTGTCGCCTTTCCTGGATCCGTTCAGTCTCAGGGCGTGTTACTTTCTTCTTTTTGTAACAGCTTTGACGTTGGGGTTTCGATGAATAGGATTGGTACTTACGCTTTATGCTCGATTTTCTTGTTATTAGTATTTTTGAAGTTCTTGGTTCTTAGGATCTGCGAGGCTTTTGATCAGCGATTATGTTGGGTCTTTTGGTTTGTTGGTGTGACAGTAAGCTAAGGGTCTGTTTGGATGAAAAGAAGAGAAGAGAATTGGCGGGGAGCCTGGGGGTTCGGGGAGAATCCACTTTTATCCAATAGTTCTTTTTGCCTCTTTCCAAAATTGAACAGTGTGTTTATCTTTTCATTTTTGCGAGTCAAATGTGGTTGGGAACCTTCAGAAGTGTCAGCTCCTGTGTTTTTGGTCGATGAACTTGACGAATCGTTTAGATCTACGCTGAAGCATATTAACTGTTTGTTAAAACTGCAAGGTTTGATCCAGTAATCTCGAGCTCTTTAGCAGTTTGCTTCTACTTTCGTGGTTAATACTTGTGCTTCCTAAATATTAAGTTGATCTAGCTAGATATTTAGGTCCTAGGAATAATATTGATTGGGGAGGACCATCGTTATCATGAAAATGATTGCAGGAATCAATTTATATACACGCATTGAATGGTGGTTCTAAAGTCTGTTATTGGATCCTTGATACCATTAGTTTAATTACTGCAACCGTATTTACAAACTGTTGAACATCTCACTCCCGTTCGAGCAGTGATAATTATCATTGTGTACTGCTCTATGTTTTGAGGTGTCATATTTCATCACAAATTTCCTTTTCTTCTCATAGTGTTTTTTTCCTACTCTTCAAGTTTTGGTTCTTGATTTTTCTATGTTTATCAGACCTTGCACAGAAGCCTTTGAGCCAACCAATACCTTCCCAAATTGGCATGATGTCCCAGTCAGTTCCCGCATATGGTTATCAGGGCTCAAGCAAAAAGATTGAAATTCCAAATGGAAGGGTATGCTCTGCTTTTGTTGTTGTGACGTTTTCCTGTTATCTATATTCCTGACAGATTTTATTAACAGTGCTTGGGCTATATGACTTCTATGGAGATCTTGGATATGGTTCAGATTTTGTTGTTTGTTTTCTTAGGTTGGTGTAATCATTGGAAAAAGTGGAGAGACAATTAAATATCTTCAACTTCAATCAGGAGCAAAGATACAAGTTACTAGAGATATGGATGCAGATCCTAATGCACAGACAAGATCAGTGGAACTTATTGGTACTTCCGAACAGATTAGCAAGGCTGAGCAGTTAATTAATGATGTGCTTTCTGAGGTACTATATGATGTTCATTATAGGTAGAACAATTAGTATGGTCATTAGCTGATGTGTTTTCTTGTTGTCATTGGTATTATCTATAAAACTTATATTGCTAGGCTGATGCTGGAGCTTCTGGCATAATTGCTGCGCGCAAGTTTGGCAGTGTTCAACCTGGTGCAGAGCAATTTCAGATGAAAGTTCCGAACAACAAGGTAACTTGGAAGTGGAGACGACATTGCATTCAAGCTGTATCTTCAATTTGGTTCTGAAGGTTTAATCTTCCATTTCAGGTTGGTCTGGTGATTGGTAAAGGTGGTGAGACTATTAAAAATATGCAAGCTAGAACTGGTGCACGTGTTCAGGTTTGCAATTCTGTTGTTGTCTTGATTAATGTTTTGTTTTTTGGTTTTAGTATCATCCAGGTTCCAACCACAGCTTACTCTTGTGAATATGCAGTACTCAAGAACTTTCTTTTTCCTTTATTTTTTGTCAAATAATTTTACTAGTTTAATGAACCTTAGTTTTGAAGGCCAGTGATAATTAGCAAATTGGACATAGGGTTCTATAGGAATAACTTAGATATTAGTCATTAATTGGTTTTTTAAAGTGCTTAATTTGCCCATTGTTTTGTTTGGAAACTTGTAGGAATGTCTTCTGGCTTTATTTAGTGTCTTTTTGTCACTTGTTTCTGATGCTCAACCATCAATTGTTGAAATTATGATAGTGCAGTATTGTTTTTTGTACGAAAATTCATTACATTTGCTCATGAGCTTTGGTTAGCTCAACACCTTAAATTATGGCATGCTTGTCAAGATGTATATGTGATTGTGTAGCAATTCCGATGATTAGTGGTCTGATCTTTAATGTGTTTGTATTATTTGAGTCACAGAAGTTTGAGCTATATGCATTTGCCCCTTATCCTTGATTATTTCAGACCTGAAAACTATGAGCATCCTTATGAAAGAATAATTTTGGTTTCCTTATCACTTTTTCTAATAAATGAGTAATGATATTTGATGTTATTATGCATATGACATGTTTTGTGTTCTTTTTGAGCTATACAAGGGTGAGCTGGTGTCTGTCCCTTATTTCATTCTTGCAATTAATTTAATATATTTGATGAATTTTATTGTAGACGATTCCTTTGCATCTACACAATGATTTTACTAAATCTGATGCATTTGGATGTAGGTGATACCACTGCATCCGCCTCCTGGTGATACATCAACTGAAAGAACAGTGTATATAGATGGCACAAAGGAGCAGATTGAAGCAGCAAAGCAGTTGGTTAATGAAGTTATTAGTGAGGTATGGATTAATCACAAGTTATATCTTCTCTAATAAAGAACTTTTTTAGCTAAATATAGGTTTTAGAAATGCTGTCCTATACTTTGCTACCTCTCAGGTTTCTCTTTGTACATTTGAATTGGTCTTTTGACTGGTTATTTTGTGACATTACTGTCTAAGTAATTTTGGCCTTGAACACAAACATTTTGGGTTGCAGTAGTTTGGTTTGGTATTGCATAATCACTTGTCTTCACTAAATTTTGAGGCAGGTTCCAAGTTAATCATGACTTTTTACTAGAAACTGTTGGCAGTATAAATAATTTTCTCTTATTTATTATATAGTTCCAGTAGAAATATCTTTATCATGTTAATTATATAGTTCTTCCATTATTTTCATTGCAATACAATGAATGATGCTTTTCTTCCAAAAGTAGTGTTATGTGTGCCTTGCGTCAGTTTTTACACAGTACATTGATATTTGTTCTTCTCTATTAATGCCTTGTTTCGCTCCTTTATGTGTTGCAATTCTAAGGTTAATATTTGTGTCTTGGATTTTTAGAGTATCTATTTTTTGCATGAAGTCCTATGTGGTTGTGCTTTCAACATTTTTCCCTAAAGAATAACAACAAATGGTGGTTGAAGTGGAAAATATTTAGTCTTTGTAGACATTTTTCTTAATTGAGGTTGGTGGCAATTTAGTTAGTAGTTATATTCCAAGAAAACATTCAGAAAATTCGTTCCAGAGTGCAGCAATGTTTTTACCTCCAGAAGTTTTTGGTTGATACACAGTTGTTGCAGTTGGCTGTTCTGCAGCAGCATATTATATTGTGCAGAATGCAAGTGAAGACAATCTGGCCTTTTGTTGCTAGATTCTCTTTAATATTGGATATCATGTGACTATGCATTAGTCTAAACATCTTTTATATTTGCATGGTTAGAGGACAATAATAAATTTCAATGTAGATAGCAAACACCTGAACTTAGTAAATACTTTTCAGTACTGAAGTGTGTGTCAAAGCATACTCAATTATCTAATTTTTGCAAAGAGCTTTTATGTTGTTTGTATCCCGTCTATCTCTTTTTTGGCTTACTAATTCTAGTTCCAATTTAAACAAGCCTGGCTAATATATTATTTATTTTGTTCTTCAGACTTTGACTTCACTTCTAATTTGTTATTGTGATGTAAATTAAGGATTTTTAATCTGTTGGTTGTTATGTAAATATTACCATTATAAAATTCTCCATTCATCCAAACCAGGTATTCTACATCGATCATGCATGCCTCATGTTTCTTGGATTTGCAAGCTTTTACAGTTATGTCATGTAACTCTCATTTTACACAGTTTCTTATTTATGATACTATAAAATGCATGACAACATCATACAGTGATTGTGCCTTTTATCTCTAACTGGTCAAAATGATCAGTATGAATCCTTGAGAGTGCAATAGCTTGGAGAGCACAGGGCTATGCTCTATCTTGAGATGATAACCAGTATTCATTACATATAGTCCAGTTTTGCACTTGTGTGTTCTTTACTAATTTTACTAGGCAACATAAGTCTGACGAAACTGTTAGTCATCCTAATTTAATTGATAGATACTCTTGATTGACTGATGTAGAAAATAAATATATATGCCTGAGATTTTGGTTCTACAGAAGTCATAAAGGATGAGTGGTTCTTCCTTTTCTTCCTATCATATCTGTTAATTGCTGAACCTGTTTAGTTATATCATAATGTTGAGAGTTCTTCCTCTCTGTGCTATGGTTACCAGGAGATATGTGATTAGTGTGACACGTTCAGGTTAAACGTACTAGGCATTCCTAATCGGAGACCTAATTGGTTGTTGGATGAAAGGTTGAGTTCTGACAACTGTTTTAAGCATTGCTGTTGAGAAATATTGTAATTGTAGGATTAGCTTGTGTTGGTGCTCCAACATCGTGCTAGATGTTGGTTGACTTGCACTGGTATGGTATTGTAGGATTAGCCTTGATTCCTTATGATAGCTGATGTTTAGGTGGATCTTGCAAGCTTAATTGTTATCTGGATAGCTACTGGAGATGTTTTGATTTTTATATGATAATCTTGAGGATTCTTGATATACTTGATTATGGTTTTCTGCACTGTCTTTCATGTTGCTAACAGCTAAGCTTTATATCTCAAATCTGGAAATCTTGGTTTATAGTAGTGTTGGCCATTGATATCCAGCTCGATCTGGTGATCATTTGAAAATGTGGGACTCCTTTTTTTCTGTAATTAAGTATTTCAATATGCACTTTTTGGTGTGAGCCTTGCACCACATTAGAGTGCACTACGAGGTAATTCCCCAATAGAGCATTATTATTCAGAACTGCATTAGAGTATTCTCTATTATCTTCTGATATGCAAATATTTTTGCAAGCCAAATCAGCATCCTTTTCATGTTTGAAGGATTCTACCTTAACATTTTGCTAACCTGTTTTCCTATCAAAAATGTTCTCAAGAGTAGAAAAATTAGATACAATAAAGATAGTGGCATGCTTGGTGAAGTGATTTCACATATGCATGGTTAGATCTTTGAGGAGAGCATGGAGAAGGAAGAGTTATTCAGTTTGACAGTTCTGGCCTATCCAGTTCTATAGATTATACTGCCAAGATGCCAAGCTCAAAGCTTAAAGGCACATTAACTGGACTTAAAAGTTTTTTTCTATAATAAATGTGATTTGCTCATCATTCTAAGTTATCAATGGAAATAAATAGGACATTTTCCAGCACATTAGCAACATTTGGTTATTTACAAGTGATGTTGCACATTGGAATAAATTTGATAAAGCTTTCATGACTTGGTTTTCGAACTTTTAGTAGCAAAATTTGGGGTGCCACACATTCTGGGGCTATATTTTGCTTTCATCTTATGAGTTTTGCTGATTTGACCTTTCCACTATAGATTATCTTTGTTTATTCTTCATATCTTATTAACATCTCTCAGCTGCAGGCAGTTCTCTTTTGCACTTCTCATTATCTTAACTGACCTTATTATTTAATGGTGATGCCACTTGGTAGTTAAGCCTTTTTCTTTATAATATTTGTCATCCTGGCAGCCGTTATTGCTGTTTTCTGATATAGTTGAATGCTATCTGGAAATTAGTGCAGCAGTAACGGTTTCTTCCTGACGGGAATTTGGTAAGGTGCATGCCATGATTTGTATTAGACCATCGTGTTGGATCTTTATCTCCATAGCCCTTCTCAACTGACTTTGAACAAATCAATTGACTGACACTATTATGTCTCTTATATAGTTATTTGGCCTAAAATCTAAAATCTTTTGTTACCTGTGGTACTATAAGTTGCTTTTGTTTAGACTATTTGTCTAGATTTGTCAACTTCTCTGATAGTCCATTAGGTTCTCGTATGAGGAGAGGATAGGTGGGCATCCAATGTACCTTGAAATTGTTTCTTCCTTTGTGGTAAGTTGGTGGTGTTCTTTCCTTTTTAATGAATGCTTCTATTACCTTGGTTTGTAATTGCCTTCATGTATCATGCTTTAGCAAAACCTTTCTTGTGATTCATAAATGCTCTTTTTGGCTCTATTCATTCACAAGTTGCATAAATTTACAAGGTAAATTTACTTGCAGAATCGTGCCAGGAATCCAGCTATGGCTGGAGGGTATCCTCAGCAAGGCTACCATCAACCTCGTCCGCCCACAAGTTGGGGCCCGCCTGGTGCGCCTCCCATGCAGCAATCTGGTTATGGTTACATGCCACCTGGAGCTTATCCTGGGCCACCACCTCAGTATAATATGCCCCAGCCACCTTATGGTGGTTATCCTCCACCTGCCTCCACAGGTTTCTCTTCTGGGTGGGACCAAACATCCAATCAACCTACTCAGCAAGCTGCATCAGGAACTGGGTATGATTACTACAGTCAACAATCCCAGCAGCAACAACAGCCTGTTGGAGGATCTTCTGCACCTGCTGGTAGCGCAAATTACAACTATGGACAACCGCTTCCTAATTACACCAATCAAGTTTCATATAGTGATGCTGCTTACACTCAGACATCTGCTGGGCTACAAGGTTATGGGCAGGATGGATATTCTGGTGGTTATAATGCTTTGGCACCTCAACCTGGTTATTCTCAGCCGGCAACAAATCCCCAAACCGGGTATGATCAACAGGGATATGGCTCAACTCCTGGCTATGGAACAGTAGCCAACCCATCTCAAGATGGGTCTGCCTCTGCTTATGGTGCTCAGAGTGGGTCTACTCAAGCACCTCCAACGCAACAAGCTCCACCAAGTCAGCCTTCTGCTACCCAAGGGTACACAGGTCAACCACCAAGTAATACCACTGCGAGCTATCCTACCCAAGGATCTACACCATCAGCATATGGCATTCCCCCGACATCACAGCCAGGTTATGGGAGTCAGCCCCCTGCTCTGACTGGATATGGTCAGGCACCACCACCTAGTTATGGACAGCCTTCTCCGGTCCAGAAATCACCAGCTACTCAATATGGACAAGGTCAACAAAGTGTGTCCACTCAAGCTGGCTATATTCAGACTGCTACTGCACAACCAGGATATGGTCAACCACCATCTCAATCTGGTTATGGGCAACAACAGTCCTATGGGGGTTATGGTCAACAACAGCAGCAACCATACAGCGAGTCTTATGTTGGCAGTGGCTATTCACAGCCTCCTGCATACTCTAATGACAATGGTGCACAAGGTGCCTATGATGGATCTGCTGCTACACCTGCTGTATCAAGTGGTGCAACTGTAGCCAAGCCACCTGCAACATGATAGTGCCTGGTAAGTCCTCTGTAGGGCTGTCGCAGCCCTTTGTGGAACATTCTATAGTTTTATGCTTTGCTTGTTCATTACTGAAGACTTTTAGTTATCATGGCACTTTGGACTTTTGGTGTTTAATAAGTTTTTTGATGTCTTGTAATTTAGATTATCAGACTGCTGGTAAGTTTGTAGTCACACTTTCATGAATATGCTGAATGATGTGTTATCTGAGAACATAAATGCATCTGTGGGTTTTTAGCTGATATCATCTGGCCTGAGTCAGCTTCTTTTAGATGTTTGCAAATTGGATAGAAGGCGGTGTAACCCGTGTCTTTTATGTCAGACAATCTAGCATCTGCAGCACCGTTTCCCTACACAGCTTTCTGTGGAAATTTTGGACCATCGCTTTCTTGGATTGATGAAGACAAACAGAAGCCTGCATCGATGTGGTTACTTTTCTAGCTATCTGAAAGATCTCTTGGAGTGGAAGGTTAAGCATCGCAGGGCAGTGACTTCTTCATGTAAGTGGGGTATTATATCAATCAGTTGGCATATTATCTTCGTGCGAGTTGTACATGCTGGAGGTGCCATGCGGACTCACCTGCCATATCACGTCTCGAGCACCATTTAGGTGGCTGGGGAAGTGACGTGTTATTTTACTGGTGCTTCGAGAGGTTGATAGATCAGCTATTTGCTCGTGTAATGGATCTTTTATGCCCTTTGCTCGGAAGCAAAGTCTGATTGGTTGTTTTGCGGGTATTTGATCTTACAGCTGTGTATGCTTTTCTATGGCCCTTTTTTTGCCATTTTAGCTGTCAATATTGGAAATTTTTTTTGGGTCGGGTTTAAAGTTCTTCAGATGTTCTATGACTTTGACTCCTTTCGTCCATGGTGTGGTTGGGCCATGAAGCCATTTGCTGGGCTTTTGCTCGCCGGTGTCTCCGATCGTCACCTTGATTAGTTGACAATATGTATCGTGCGGCTTAACTATCAAGCTGCTTGATCGGTGTATCTGATTGCCATTGCCACTGCAACCACGACTAATGAAGGGGGGGATCGCCCCTTTTATTTTGCAGCGTTTCTGGTTTTGATTTCTCAACTGCTTTGGCAGTACATTCTACCGTGTTTATGCCACGATTGTCATTTGTCACATAGCAGGTTGAGCCTAATGTCATGGAAATCTATGTTTATGAGAAGGCCAGTGCTAATTAATTCACTTCTAAGTGCAAACTTAGGATTTTTGCCTTTTGCATATATCCATAATTATGCGTTTGGCAAATGTCGTTTTAAATTATCATCCGCAGTTAGTTATTTTTAGCATTTTAATTTTTATATTTTTTTAAAATTATATTGGTATTTTTATAATTATAAAAATAAAAATATAGGTTTATTTATCTTAATGATATTGATTTTATCAATGAAAATATAAAGATTAAAAAATAATTTTAATATTTTATTTGATAGTGACGGATGACGTCGGTGATGATGAATGGTAGTATTACTAGAGCCATAGGTGGTTGTTGATAATGGGAGCGATGATGAGATGTGAGAGTCATTTTGTATCTACATCGACGTTAATGTAGTTGTTAAGCGATGAAAGAATCGCTTGGCATTTACATCAGCGCTAACGTAAATGCAAAGCGGATCTCATCTCTTATTATCGTTCTTCTTATCCACAATAGTTACCCATGACTCTTAGGAGCATTGTTGTTTGCCACCATCGATACCGTTCTCTACAATCAATTAAAATGTTAAAATTATTATTATTTATATATTTATATTAATAAAACAGATGACGTTATGATAAATAGATCTATATATTTTACTTTAGTAATTATATGGATAATAATATAAATTTTTTTAAAGTATAGAGATTAAGATATGGAAGATAACTAACTAGTCACCTTCACATAGCATACGTTACCCGTAATCGAAAATTTTGTTCCTCCTTCATGACATTAAACGATCGTATGGAACGAAACATGCAAATGGAAATTCCAGTTTATCGAACGAGCAAAGGGTTCTGACGGATTCAGAGAACAACATCGGCCACAAGCGTCTCTTAAAACGTACCCTTTTTTATTTTTCTGAGTATTTCATGTTTAGATCTACCGTGTACTGCGACTCTCTGCTGACTGTTCCCACGGTCACGTGAGAACGATCGTAAGCGTCTTGCTTCTCAGGTCATATTACAGCAACCGAGTTGGCCGGAGGAAGAAGACCGTGGATTGATGCTCTATTTATCAATGTAGTAGAGCGAGCAGGTTATGCTATTTATAAATGGCACCGTGTGTGGAAAACCTGAAATGATCATCGGGTTGGGTTTAACCATTTTGGATCAGATAGTGTTAGGCATGATATGATGAATTGTGATGAAGTAGTATCAAAGCAGACATAGTATGGCTGGATACGAGTTGTAATGCAACCTCCTCTTGTAAGTTTTTTTCCTTTCTCTTTCTTTCAGGAGTACAATGGTCTCGAATTATAATCGTAATTTGCAATCACTATATTAATGTCATTTCTTGCAATTTATGTTCTCATATAAGGTGGTTCATAATTTTCATGAGGTAAATTACTATGCGGATTTATGGATGTCCTTCCGTATGTATGTATGTATGTATGTATGTATGTATGTATGTATGTATTCATAGACAAACATTATTTAGCAAACCTAGTGGTTCACAAAGAACATGTTAAGGAAACGATACACCCAACATTCGGATGGACTAACTAAATCACATATCATACAATTCATGTGTCAACTACCACATATTTCATCCCTTCTTGTTCTTGAGGAAGCAGAACAGGCACATTCTTTCTTCCGAGAATGCCTGAGATGAACAAGCTGATGATTGAGTTGAGTATGGATTATTTTCCCTGAAGAATAACACCATCTCCTCAATGTAAGGTTTTAGTTTTTTTTTTCCCAACATATCGCATTCAATGTTTGTATGTATAGGCTTCCTTTCTTAGCTGTGTGACTGTCTTGGCCAGTTTGTTCCTCCTCCTCTTATCACTCTTGATTGATTTCATAAAGAAGTTATATAGATGATTGATTGAAGTACAGGCAATGCTGCTGCTCTTGTTAGCTGCTCTCCTCTTTTCCTCACAAATGGTGGATGGAACACCCAACTGTGTGTCTTTGGACAAGGAGGAATTGCTGGCGGAGAAGAAGCTGAAACTTCTTAACAGGCCTGCGGTGAAGAGCATTCAGGTTCTCTAAGCTTGCAGTTTGAATTTACTGAGGGGAAGAACCAAAGTAGTACTTCTTGCAAGACAATAGACTTGGGTTGCTCAAGAACCAAACGATCATCAACTCAGATCATATGTTTTGCAGAGCGAAGATGGTGACATAGTGGACTGTGTTGATCTCTACAAACAGCCAGCCTTCGATCACCCACTACTCAAAAACCATACCATTCAGGTCCAATATTTTACTCACCAGCATGCTAAGCATACACAAATATAAGTCTTTAGACAATTCCATGATCTTCTCCTTTCTAGGAATGTTTCAGTGACACTGTTACATAGAATCGATACAAGATTTCCTTCGATTGGAACTTCTCAGTATGTTCTTCGACGGGCATAGAATGCTGATAGTAGTTAATTGTCGCCTTCTTAGTCCTACCAAAAAGATAATATGCATCGATTGTTAATGCTGTAGCTGAGACCCGATGATGAGATCTCCGGCGAAAGAGACGAGGGAGTAAAAGCACGCGTGCCGTCCCAAGCGTGGCAAAGGAGTGGGAGCTGCCCTGATGGAACGATCCCAATCCTCAGGATCCAAAAGCATCACCTGCTCAACGCTGCTTCGATGGAAGACTACGGCAGGAAGCCATGGCATGGCATGACCAAGCACAAGATACGTACATCGAGTCTCTCGTTAGATGCCGGCATCGAAGGCCTGCACGCGGTCAGTCTTTGTACTCCCCTTCTAAGCAATTCCTGATAGCTCATCGTCTCTTCGGTGATTTCAGTATGGCGTGCTGATGGCCAGTGGTTTCAGCTACATCGGAGCCAAAGCAAGCATCAACATATGGAATCCCCATGTCGGCGGGGACGACGAATTCACTACTGCTCAGATTTGGCTTCGGAATGGGCCGTACAACAGCTCAGAATCCATCGAAGCCGGATGGATCGTTAGTCTTTCTCTTCCCTGATCGTAACACAACATTATCTGATCTCCTGTATTGTTCATAGTTCTTTTGTCTTTAACAGGTAGATCCCAGCCTTTATGGTGACATGAGGACAAGGTTTTTCGTGTACTGGACGGTAAACCTCTTCGCTTGATCGATCTTTCTTTCTTTTACGTACTTCCCTCCCATAGATCTTCGCAGACGGACTCCGGGAGGACGACAGGCTGCTTCAACCTCCTGTGCGCAGGCTTCGTGCAGACGAACCCACACGTAGCCCTGGGAGCTGCTTTCGCGAGTACATCCCAAAGAGATGGACTTACGGAATTCAACTCAACATGTGGCTGGTAAGGGTCGAAAGCAGTTCCGGCATTGCAACATGAGCTTGCTCTTCGTCGTCTGAGCCCGCAATCGCTTGCAGGACTCGGACAACGAGAAATGGTGGTTGATGTTCGCCGACGACGAGGTCGCGGTCGGCTACTGGCCGTCTTCATTGTTCGCCGGGCTGAGAGGGGCAGCGACGTTGGCGTTGTTCGGTGGCGACGTCTACAGCCCGAGGATACATGAGAAGCCGCACACAACCACCGCCATGGGCTCCGGCGACTTCGCTTCGTACCACTGGGGCACCGCGTGCTGGATCAGCAAGCCCCGAATCAAGGACTACTCCGGCGAGTACAAGTACCCGTATCCTTTTGGGACGCTGAGCACCCAAACCGACTGCTACAGCGCCGAGAACTACGCAGAGATCCTGTGGACGGAGCCGCTCTTCTACTTCGGCGGGCCCGGCAGGAATCATCCCTATTGCGAATAGAACGAACACTTGCTTTGTGCGGTTTATGCTTCGAGGAAGGATATGTTAAGACACATCAGATTTAGCCTCGTGAAACAACAAAGACTGGTGAACCAAAATGTCTATTACCGAAAGAAAAGAAAACAAAGCACTAATCTGAATCCGATGTTGTCTGGGAGTGAGGATCAAATCCCATCAACAGTTTCGATAGATGCTCTCCCATGTCTTGGACTTCATCTCTCCCAAAGCCCCAAGTACGGAGAAGCTCAGCGCCTGGAGCTCCCCTTGCGATCCCGTGTTTGCGAAGGTCCCCCAACCTTTTCTCCACGAAAGGCATAATAGCAGTGCTTGACCGGAGTCTTGCAGCCATCGGGATTGATTCGATTTCAAGCGATCCTCTCGACGGAGCTCCTTGTACCGAGTTGAACACCAACTCGCCATGTCGGCCTACATTCCTCCCAAAGATCGATGGAAATGGCAGTGGTATCGGAAGAGGGCAGAGGGCCACCGAGAGGCGGGAGAACATTGGCTTCGCCGGAGCAGTTTGATAAGCTACACGTATCGAGTCCTTGACTTGAGACACCGTTGCTCGATGATCACCTGTAGGTCTCAATCCACAAAGGATAGCAGATGTCAGTGGTCTTTATTTTTACTGAAGTGCAGATTAAACAAGAACACACTCGGAATCATCAATTTGCATTCTGATCTCAGTTTCAATTAAATGGTTTCAACACGCATAAATTACATGCAGCATCAAATAAAAAAAAAGAAAAGAAATCTAATAGCAATTACTAAAACCCTTCTTACATGATTGTTATCTTGGTGAAGACAGATCTTCCACACTGGTTTTTATGTCCAGGACATAGGTATGTTTGCCGTCATAATTTCCTGATTGTTTTGTAAATACATGAAACATGCTCCGACATTCAAGAGGCACATGTGGAATTCCAACTCCATTATAGATACTTATGAAAAATGTTCATGTTTTATTCATCATTTCTGAAGGATCCCCTACTCAATGGCTTAGTTTGACATCATGAATGGGACAAATGGTTAAAATGTTTTTCGTTCAAAACATGTTGTAATATGAAAAATAGCGTGTCTCCTAGACACGCGATAAAAGAGTTAAAAATATAGCACAACTTGAAGGAGGGGCGCAGGGAAGAAAAAAAATCGTTCGGACAAAAATCATTGAGAAATTTGGCATAACTGCAGCATTAAATATCAGTATCAACATTTTGCATTCTTAATACTATGGATGAGTTGGTGAGCTGAAAAAAGCAAACTTGTGTGTTGTTCAGTAAAAGATAGGAAGAAGAACCTGAATAAAGGGCTCCATGAACAACCAAGGACTCCACAGCTAGCAAATCATCATCATCTTTTCTTATTTCAGGGGTCAAAGGATGCAAGTTTCTGAGGATACTACCTTGGTTATGCTCATCTGAAACAAGACCACCAGTTTCTCAGTGAAATTGTGAAGACAAATGACCCAGGATAATAAACAGTGTTCTTACCGGTCAAAGATGGAGGTGGCATCGCTACATCCAGAACTGTCACCATATTTTGCCTAGATTGACCAGCCAATGTGTGTACAATCTCACCCACATCCATAGCACCAGAAGTGCATGTTGAATTTGCGGCTGGCCCAGGAATTTCCATTCGGAATGGAATGCTTATGGAGTGTATTGAAGCAGCATAAACAGCACTGCTGTGGAAAGGCTTCTTATCGTCCACATGGAGCAAAGGAGACAACCCACCTTAATTTAAAATAAGAAAAACCTATCAGCCTAAGATATAATCACAACAAGAAGGAGATACAGGCAGTATCAATTAATGTAAGACATAAAAAGTATACTTTTGGAACAACAAGCATTTGAATTCTATGTAGAATTAACTTCAGAGTTGCACTGCAGATTTTGACTAATATTAAGCTTAAATTGGTAAAAGCCAGATTTTAACATAAGCTTGCATACGACCAACCACAGACTTGCGTACTTCTAAGAGAAGGCAACCCAACTGGTATCATCAAGTTGCAAAAGGAAGACAGCCTTGAAAAGGAGACAGCATCGTGAAGAGATCGTCCAATAGATGATTTCTGGTTAGTGGCATATGTATAAGCACCAGGATCTCTTACAGCATAAAGCAGAACAGGTGTGTTTGTGTACTCATCTTCAATGTTCTCCAGAACTTCTGCAGCTACGCTGGAAAAACCTCCAGAATCATCAACAACAAATTGGATACCCTGAGAAGCAGTATATAGTTTCAGAACAGGACCCTAAAGTAGTAGTGTCTTTCAATCAAATTTAATCTAATAATCAAGAAGATGCATCAGTTGAAGAATACATGTTTCTGAATGGAGTGGTTATAGATCAAACTAAACATAAATTGTCTAGATCTAAGGTGAATTTAAGGTTATAAGCATCAAGGTTTAATTGTAATCTTGATATGAATATTATGTTTGTATTTTTGCATGCTTATGGGTGTGCAATTGAGCACGTCAGTGCATGTACATAGGTGTACATCCATGCATGTGCAGACGTACATTTGTGCAGCCATTTTCCTGCATGCAAATACATACGTGCTTCAATGCATGGTAATCTTGCTGTCAGAACTCATAAATAAATGGAAAAAATAAGACTACAATTCTATAAAATGTTAATAGTTTTTAGAGAAAAAGGAAAAGAGCTGCATAATCAAAATCTAGAATGAAACAGGAAAAGTCGATCGATTAAATAGTATTATATAGACAAGAAAATGACCTGAATATGGTCGCATTCTTCAATAAAGAACCGTAGTCTCTCATTCATCTCTTCTAACTGCAAGCCTCCTGAAAGAACATCCCTTCCAATTCCATAATCATCAAACTTTTGGATGTCCATCCATGAACTATGAAGTTCATACAAGCTTCGAGGGTGATACTGAACCTTGGAAAAGTCTGTCCAAAACTTAACATCAGTTTCTAGGCATTCAATCCGGCCCTTATCTTGAACTTGCCTCTGAGAACTGCTCATCACTTCACCAGAATCATCCTCTGAAACATCTAAAATCTCATGCTCTTCCGCAGATAAGCTTTGCAGAAATAAATTCTTTTTGTGAGGTTCTGCCATGCATCTGGATACATTGCCAGTCCTGCACATTGTTTAGATATAAGGCTTCACACGGATCAAAGGCAACAGAACAAAGACAAAGGTAAATGAACTCATTTGTAAGTAGGCCTTGCCATGTCAGGATATCTGTAGGGTCAGATGATGAAATATCATCATATAGAGAACCAGAAAGACTTAGGGAACCCAGAGACCCTGCAAATCATATTAGCAAAATGAAAAGTTAAAAGTAAATGACACAGATCTCTTGGCATTTGCTATATAAGCTCATAAGAAAAATAACGGATGTCACAAACTGACCCATGAGAGTGGCTATTTAAAGGATTTCTTTTAGAAAAAGGATCACAAATCAGATGATGAATTAATCTTCATGTGCAAAAAGCTAACTGTCTTAAAGTAAATGATGCATATATATATATATATATATATATATATATATATATATATATATATATATATATATATATATATATATATATATATATATGTTATATATGTATACATTAATAAAAATCTACACACTATACATACATATATATACACACACATATAAACATGTGTGATATATATATGTG